TCTCTGTTCTTCTCCCCGTGCCGTTCACTAGGGGGACAAGCTCATCCCGCCTTTCCCGTGTTGACTGAGTAGTTCTGTTTTTTAACCCCTAAATTGTAGAAAATTATCTGAGATCCTTGTTCTCAATGACTTTCACAGATTTTAACTCCAGGTACCTATTCACAGTAGGAAAACCCCACTGGTGAGTTACATGCATCTCGTTGAAAATGAATGAGCGAAAGCAAGTGAATAAGAAGAAAGACACTGATATTTTTGTGATGCCAATGAGGTGCTTTCTGGCTTTCCTTCAATACCAGAGGCAGATTATTCATTAGAATCACAAATAGCCACAAAGATGAGGTCAGGATTGCCTTGTAGAGGTACCTTGTTGGCGAAGTCCTAACTGCAGAGACAGCGGAATAAAGCACATATGTAGCCATCGTGTTCTTAATGAGATTCCTGAGACTAACTCCATCGTTCCTGTTTTTCTCTCAGTTTCCGGAGAAAGGTGCTGAGTCTGCCTTTGGACAAGCGTTCGGTCTGTCTGCCAAATCTGTGCAGGTTCACTAGCAAGTGACCTGGGAGAAATTTCCTATTAAGTCTTTAAATGCCTACAAGTGCCGGAAGAGCTTAAAATAGTTAACTCATCAACCAGCCCTGAATGAACTTAGGATAAGCTTGTGTAGCATGTTCCTGGTAGGGACCAGAAAAAAAAAAAAGGCAGAAAACAACTTCGTTTGAGGACAATTCAATTGTGTAGGTCAACATCCAGCTTCTTAGGAAATGAGTGACCGTGGTGGGCCATTCCTGTTCTGGCAGATCCAGTGAGATCACATCTTACCCCTGAATTTCTCAAGAACTTTGATCAAGAATCCTGGGGGCACGGACAGTGACACTAGTCTTCTCAGGTGAACTGGGTTAACTTGTCTTTTCCTATTTTCAGAGAGAACTTTGGATTATCGGCCCCTTAACCTGGAGTTGTGAAAAACACCCACAGAACTACACAGCGTGGAGAAGACTGGCTATATCTTCTCCAGGGTTCAGCCGCCAATGAAAATGAGGAGCTCCTTGTTTAAAAAAAAATTAAGAGTTTCAAGAAGCGGCCCGGTGCAAGGCCCTTCTCGGTGTGGGCCCCGGGTGGCTGCCCCAGGTGGGTCCCACGCGCATGGAGTCGGTCCTGACAGGGGTATGAAGGTGATGGACCCCCGTTCAGGTTTTCTGTTTCTTCTTGGGTCGGCGTAAAGAATTTACATGTTTTTCTAGAAAATTGTCAATCTCGCTTAAAGTTATAAACTTGTTGGCACATAGTTGCTCAATGTATTCTCTCACCATTTTAAAACACTGTAATTGCAAGATTTTAAAATCCTTATCATTCATTCATTCACACGCTGTGTGACCCTCAACCAAACTCCACGTGCACAGCCTCCCGAAGAACGAAGCCTTGGTTTTTCTTTTTTCCGTTTCATTAATTGATGATTTCACTTCTATTATTTCTTTACTTCTACTTTATTTTCCCCCCTGGTTTCTTTGGCCCTAGGTATTAAAAATGGGGCTGGCCATCTTTCCCTTCAAAAATCACTAGTTTAAGAAACATACTTTTCGTTTCAAACTTTGGGGTTCAAATCAGGTGAACGGGGCTGGCGAGTGAGAGAAGATTGTGTTCTCAACTCAGGGGTCGACTCCAGCGTCAGCGGCGTGCGTCTGTGCCCCCCAGAAAGGGTGGCCCAGGTCCCCAACCGGGGCTGGCCTTCAGGCGACGGATGTCCCTTCACAATCGGTCACCCTTGTGACTATCACTTTGGAGCACCATTTTCCTGTACATAAAAACAAAAGACACAGATTTTTTAATTAACCTTTTCAATATGCTTGATGAAAGATTAAATTCACAATCATGGATGATGAACTTTCAGAAAAAAACACCCCAACAACCTTTATTTATGAAAACAGATGCCCAGCCTGGGAGCGGTAGGTGGCCAGCTCGGTCTTTCTAAGTATTCCCTTAAAACAGAAGAGGAGGCTCCCTCGCCTTCCCTTCGTCCCGGCTCTGCTGAGTGACAGAACCCGCCCTGACAGCACTGCGGGAGGGTGGCCGGGACGTCACCAGGTGACATCTGCGCAACCTCGCCTTGTGAATTACACGTTTCCAAGCCCAATGTCAACTGGATGCCGCAAGTCCGTGTATTCCTCCCCAAATCTTTGGATGGCAAAGATGTTGATAAAAGGAGTTATTTGATTTGAAAAAACAAACAAACACCTTACCCGTAGAACTAACATGTATTTATTCCATAAACATTTATGGAGCACCTCCCCCCAGCCGGCCATGGCACTCAGCATTTTACAAATTTATCTCATATAATTCCCATAGCAACTTTACCCTCGATTTATAACCTGGATGCTGAGGAATGGGGCTCTGCTAGAGAGTGGCAGCTCGGTCTGGACTTCAAAGTCCAACCTCGGGCCGAAGTTTCCAGCTACTGCCCAGCCAAATGGCTTGTAGCTGTATTAGCTCATCAGGAAGCCTCATTTGCCGAGTCTTCGTTTCCTCCCAAAATGAAAGAGAAATAGCCTCCACCATTCCTCTCTTCCTCCTTGCAATACAGGCAGATGACAGGAAACCCGTAGCTTTAGAAAAAAAAGGCGCAATCTCGGTTACCGATTGTTGCACAAGAAGGTGCCCCAAAACATAGGGCTTGTAAAAGCATTTAGGTTATGCCGTTTCCATGCGGAGGAGATTCGGGGCAACTCAGCTGGACAGCTCTGGCTTGGGATCTCCCATGAGGCTGGGATCCAGGTGTGGGTCGGAGTTCAGTCCCCCGAAAGCCCAGCTGAGGCCGGGGAACCTTGTCCCAAGCTGTCTCCCCTGTGCGACAGGCCAGTGGGGGCGGCTGGTGGGGAACTTCTGCCCCTCACTGCATGGACGTCTTTTGAGTCTCACAACACAGCTGCCCTCCCCTGGCGAGAGCAGTCTGAGGAAGGACAAGGCAGGAGCCACGTTTCCTCCAGACATCAGCTTGCAAGCCGCACAGGCCATCTCTGCAACGCCCTGTTGGCTATGTACACAGGTCTGCCCTGCTCAGCGTAGGAGGGGACATTGCAAGGGCTGGGGCAGCAGAAGATGAGAGTCGCTGGGAGACACCTCGGAGACTGCTACCCCTGCACTCTGCATGGAGAAGCTAATAACAGACATGACCATGTACTAAAGGGCTCGCGATGTGCCCAGAATGTGCTCTGTAGGTATTATTTCATTTCAGACGCACAGCAGCCACAGCTGCTCATGACTATCATCAAACCCAGTGCGCAAATGAACACGCAGATTTGCGTAAATTAAGAACCTCGTATGACGTCATCCGCCTGGTGAGGGAGAGCCTAGACATGGACCTGGGGTTCCATTGTAAAGCCGGGGGTCTTAAAACTCTATTTTATCACCTGATTTTATATGAAATTTTTAAACAAAGTTATCCAGACCAACCCCAGGGGACCAATGTGTCTCAGCCTCAGCATTCAGCGACATGTAGGGCAGCATAGTTCCTTGTGGCAGGGCTGCTATGGAGTATTTAGTAGCATCTCTGGTTTCTACCTGCCGGATGCCAACGGCACCCTCTCTCAGTTCTGACAAACCACGGAGGTCACCAGACATTGTCACTGTCCCCACAGGGGTGAAATCACCCCACGTGAGAGGCACTGCTCCCTCAGGAGATACCTCCCTCACTAAAATTGTTCTCTGCGGAGATTCCATTTAAGGGTAATACAAAAGGTCAAGCGTTAGCGCCAAACGCCATTCCTTAGAGTGAGAATTGGAAAAGGAGTACGCATTCATCCTGCAACGACTGTCTCCCTGGAGACCTGCGCACGCAACTTCAAAAGTGCCTGCACCGGCAGGCATGACCTTTCCGAGAGACGCAGGCATGAGCTGTTCATTGTTGGAGGCGAATATCTGCTCTGTGGATTAGCCCGGGAACGAAGAACTGGCTCGTCAGGCCAGATGAGAGGGAGCCAGTTCCAAGCCCTGGGAGCAGCCGAGTTCATTGTAGCAGGAGGTACGGTTTCTAGAGTGCATTCCACCTCCCCAGTTCAGAAGGAATTTCATCTGCCTTTGAAGAAACGTTTAGGGAATGAGAATATTTCCACACCAGTGTTGCAACTCCTTTGCGAATCTGTGAGTTACTAATGTATTTACCTTGCAAGGCGAGCAGTTCCCGTGGATCTTGTACCGACAGTCAGAAAAGTGACTTGCAATCATGATATTATTGCTCAAACCATGCTGTCGGTAACTCAGTTCCAGACAATGGCTTTGGGAAACATGTTTGTCTCAACAAGTTAATGCATTGTTACCCTTGGTTGAACAATTAGGCAGATGATTAACTGGATACAAATGTTATAGAGGAGAAAAAAATCAGGATTTTTTCCCTTGCCTACTGTCATTTGAACATCGACTCATTTGATTTGAATCATTTTTGAATAGAGAGCTGGAAATCTCTCAGATTTCTAGCAATTTCTGGCAACTCGTGGAAAGTTAAACCATCAAACAGAATAATAAGGATGATGGGCTCAGTTTAGCAGCTAACAAGTTTTGAACATCATCAGAATTGAGATTCAGGCAATCTTGTTCTCAGCTACTTTGCCAGAACCTAGCCCTGTAACTGGCACATAGAAAGTGCTCGGAAAACTCAGTTTTTATATAAAATACATGAATAATCTTGAAAATTCTGTTATCTTCATTTCCCAGAAAACTCACAAGAAACATAATTCTGCAACAGGTTGGAAATCTGTTTCTTATTCTCCACCATGTTTCAGATAATCTTTTAACCCCTTTTGATATCAATGCCTGAATCATCAGCTCGTCTTTCGACTTCGAGAGTTGATTAGATATTGCACTGGGCTTGAACTTGGGTGCCCCTGTGGAGCTGGCCAATGCTTGACTCACAGCTCCCCTGAGAATGAATGGGGAGCCTGCCAAACTGTGCCAGGCAGAGGGCAGTATCTGTGTTCTAGGTCTGAGCTTCTGGCCTCCTGAACATGCATCACCGGGGTTTGTAGAGATCGCCAGGTTCGCTGCCCCGCCGATTCAACCTGTCCACACACTTGGCTTCCCGAAAGGCCTTATCGTCATGCTGAGTGCTCTGAAGTACTTCCAGGAGGAGCTGCATCCTGTAGTAATAAAAAAGGAGTAAGAGCAGTCATTGAGAACATAGACTAAGGATTCGTCTGCCAATCATTGTGGCTAAATTTGTGATAACCATGATCTCACTTGGATCTTCACATCACTCAGAACCTGTGATGTAGGATTGTCTCCATTTTCCAGGTGGAAAGAAGGAAGCTTGGAGAGATTAAACAATGTGTCACGGGCCCCAGAGCTAGTAAGTGGTAAACCGGGTCTCTGAGCTCCATAGCCTTTTGGACTCCAGAGCGGGGCTCACAACCACTATGATTTATGTCTCCAGATGAGTGTTTGAAAGGGAAGAAACCATATCACGTAAGCCTGAGTTATACCCGAAGGAGATGGAAAGACCCGTGCGTGGGCCCTTCCTCTTCCACAGCGAACAGCGAGGACCTGTGTGGTCAAAAGTTATTGTAAAACAGTGGTGTGTGGTTTCCGAGGCCAGATCACAAATGGCTTTCTGATCTACTGTGACCTTCACCTTGCACTATCCAGGGTCACCCTCTCGGGGAAAGCTGGCCCCGCCGTGTCACGAGGATGCTCAAGAAGTCCTCTGGAAGGGTCCGTGTGACAAGGTACTAGCCCTCCTGTCCCCAGCCAGGACTGACTACCTACTCGCTCGGGTGAGCGAGTCAGCCTGCACGTGCATCCCGCAGCCCGGGTCAAGCCTTCAGGTAACCCGAGTGCTGGTAACACCTGGAGAGCCATCGCTATGGAATCCCCAGCCACACCTGCGCCACGACGCCATCTCTGGATCCCGGATCTGCACATCCTGTGCGAGATAAAAATGCTGCCTGTTGTGCACCGCTGTAGTTTCGTATCCTCTGTTTCCCAGCAGTAGACAGACGACCAGCACGAAAGGAATGGGTGTTTTCCAGGGAGTGATGGTGATGACGGACCGTGGAACCCGAGATGGAGGAGGAGGGAAGTGAAGAAAGGTAGGGAGTACAGAAATAGCTGGATGGATGTCATCAGATACAATGGCAGCTCTTCACCACGGGCTACAGAGCCGGCCCCGGGCACTCTGGGACACGGGCTCCCATGCTCTCCTGCCCCCTAAGCACAGCCACACGCTGACTCTGCTGGGGCTGTTGCTACTGCTGCTTCCGTAAACCAAGCTCAGTCCTGCCTGAGGACTGACTTTTTCCATTGCAGTCCCCTCACCAGGGACACTCTTCCTCTAGGTCATTACACTGCTGGCTTCCACTCGTTCTTTAGGCCTCTGCACAAAAGTCATTTCTTCATCCCTGGCTGGTGTGGCTCAGTGGATTGAGCACTGGCCTGTAAACCAAAGGGTTGCTGGTTCGATTCCCAGTCAGGGCACATGCCTGGGTTCCAGGCCAGGTTCCCCAGTAGGGGCCATAAGAGTTCAACCACACATGGATGTTTCTCTCCCTCTCTTTCTCCCTCCCTTCGCATCTCTCTAAAGTAAATAAATAAAGTCTTTTAAAAATCACTTCTTCAGAGAGAACTGTCTCCTCTCCTCTAATGATGCCACCCCCCAGACCACTCTCTTTGATGCTCTTCACTTCCTTTAGCACTAAAATCATTTTGTTTGTTTACTTATCTCCTCAACAAGAAGATGAGAGGAAAGGAAGCTAATCTATCTCACTCACTGCTGGGTTTTTCCAGCATCTCAAACCAGCCATTTCCAACCTTTCCCATCGCATGGCAGACGGAAACTAATTACTGCAATCCTGCGGCGCGCCAAAAATATATTTTTTGCAGATCTGACCTGAAAAATAAGTATAATTTTGATTCATTCACACTGGATGGCTATTATTGTGCTGGCTATTGTCATTTTTTTTTATTTGACAATCTAAAGGAAAAGAAGTCAGTGCCCCTGACGCAACAGTCAGGTAGTGTAGGTTTTAAAAATTCTTGTGGCACACCAGTTGGAAAACCTTGGCCATAAGTGAGATCATCGTAAAAACTACTGAATGAATGGATGAATAAAAAGAAGCAAAGAGACGGAATAGTTTGGCTCCTGGCTGAGACCAACAGTACAAAGTACTGAGGACAAAGAAACGCCAGTTAGGCAATCACTGAGGACTCACGGGGAGCAACGACACCTTTAGCCTCAGAGGACTCATAACGGCCACTCATGACTCGCGTCCAGGAGCCAAGCCAAGCACAGCAGAACCGGGTCCGGGCGCCTGAGTGGGAATCGCATCAGCAACGGTTCGGCTGTGTCAGGGAGGAGATGGGAAGGGCTCTCGGGCGTGTCCAAGCCTCCACCGCTAAACCGCATCTCATCCTGTCTCGGGAAACAGCAGAAGCACCCACCTGGAACTCGTCGTGGCTTCTTTGGCCTCCTGAATACGGCCACGTGGTGCCCTCAGAGTTTTCCGAGCGCCAGTGCCTCGATGCCACAGAGCGCTTCGCAGCTTCAAAGAAAACCCCGCCCGGACGTGAGTGAGTTCGCACTCCTTCCCGACCACACACCGTGGGACGCCCCGCCCTAGTTGGACGCTCTGACCTTGGCGGCAACGCGTTATTGGCAACTACAGCCACAGCAACCTCGCCCCAATTATGAATTTATGGGCTGTTGACACATCACATGTCGGCATTTTTAATCACTAAGGACAAAACCAGGGGTCGTTTGGACTTTATGCCCAACTACCTGGTGCTCAACGTCTAGAATTGGGCAGCTTTCAACTTTGAAGGGTGTGAAACCCAGTTCTATATCCATTTGAATCACTAGCCCCTCAGAGCGGATGGCGGATCTCAGCACGTTGGAGGACCATTACGTACCTGATGCACGTCTCAGCCCCGATGACGGAATTCTGCTTTGAAAGGGCAACAGCTTTCCCTCTCTGATGAAAGGCCTATGTGTCTGTGCTGAAACGGTTACCATAGCAATAATGAACTTATCTTCATCTTTGGGAAATGGGTGATTAATAACCACGAATCCCTAATGACAGGTGGATTTGGTGGGCACCTTTAGGAGCTCACGGCTTCGACGGGGAGCTGCGTTTCCGAAGGCTCAGCCCAGCTTTGGGACGGGGCCCACGGGTCATCCGAGTGACGGAGAAACGAAAGCAACAAACTCACACACAAAAGGATGGTTAAAGGAAATGAGGAAACACACCAATGATCACATTCTGAGAAGAGATTTTCAGTGTTTAGGGTAATTTTCTTTTCTCTTTTTTTCCCCTCTTTATCTTGGTTGTTTCTCCCCCTCTTCCTACAACACATAAGGAGTAGTCACTCATCTAAAAGAACCCTACAAAAATCTTGTCTCCCTGTGATAATGAAGACCAGCCCTTGTATCCAGAAGACACCGTCCTGGGCAGCTTCCCCAGTTTCAAAACTACAGCCGTCCTGGGGACGTCTCCTTCCTTTCACTGGGAAGGAAATGACAAGCACACAAAAGAGTTCTTCGTGGTTTTGAGTGGAAGCTCGGGCCCTCTGTTAGGCTGAGGAAGGCCGAAGACCGAAATACTGCTGAGCGGAGGCGGAAGACTAGGAGAGAGGGCACAGGATGGAAACACAGAAGGAAAGAAAGTAAAAAAGAGGAGAGAGGCTGAACAGGGAGGGACACTCGCCAGACAAAAGCAAAGCAAAGCAAAGCTGAGGACGTTCACGGGCTGAAACGGTGGACCCGCTGACCGTGCGGGGCCCACGTAGCTACGGCCAAAGGAAAGACTCTTGGGAAAGGCTGTCACAGGTGGACGACTTCTCTGGGTCACGTCGCTCTTACCCATCTGTTTGTCTCTCCAACCAGGTCCACCTCCGCTTTGTCTGCTCCCGAGGGGCTGAGCTCCACCAACCTCCCTGCTCCTCTGGGAGTGGCCGTGTGGGGGCGCAGCAAACAGGAGTTCTTCGGCCTTAGCCAGAACGAGAGGTGGGACGGTGTCGCTCCCATCCCGAGTCCCCGCACAGGTCTGCCAATGGCTGCATTTCCTTCCTGCGCCACCTCGGCTCTCGCTGGGCACCTGCGAGGAATAGTTCCTCATTTGCCCCTTCAGATACACCGTAGTCCTGGCACAAGGAGATTTGCAGAAAGAACTGGCAAAGGAATGAAAGGAACAAAAGCAAACACTTATTTCTGGTAACCGAAGGAGCACACCCGACCACATGGTCCCGACATGAACTCATTTTCCCTTGGAAAAAAAATGAATTAATGTCCTTCTCCTCCAGAGGCGGATAAATGACATCATCGTGACCCACACAGGCCCTGAGCTAGCCAGCTAGTTCCTTTTCTTCTTTTAAGTAAAGGCGAAACAGTTAACCAGACAAAAGAACTTGGAGTCCTAGTACCATTTCTAGAAATGACCTCTCAGAAGAAAGAAACGATATTTGATGAGGAAAAAAAAAACACTTAAAAATAAAGCTGAGGAATGGGCCAGGACCCCAAACCCTCGGGGGACCACCAGGAGCACTGCCAGCCAAGCTCCCCCGGGAGCCGAGGCCCCCTCGCTGGACCACGCCCACAGGCCAGCCACGAGGTCACCGCTCCAGCCCAGCAGAGAGGCAACCCAGACAGAGAAACCGGGAGCCCGAGCGCCTCTGCGGATCATCTGGCTGCCAGGGCACATGCAGCAAGGGTCTTCAGGCACACTGGCGAGACAGGTGTCCCTTCCCGAGCCCTCTGGGAGGTCACGACACCTCCGAGTTCCGTGACGGCCCAGAAATCACCACCCTTGACAGGGGCTGCGCTCATTGCTGGCTGAACTCACCAGGAGCTCCGCACACAGCCACACATTTTTTAAAATCTCAAAAGGGGAACACCCTGGCTGGCGTAGCTCAGTGGATTGAGCACGGGCTACGAAACAAAGTGTTGTAGGTTCGATTCCCAGTCAGGGTACATGCCTGGGTTGCAGGCCATGGCCCCCAGCAACCACACATTGATGTTTCTCTCTCTCTCTCTATCTCCCTCCCTTCCCTCTCTAAGAATAAATAAATAAAATCTTTTTTTAAAAAAGGGGGAACACCATGTCCTGCTGGGGACGGGCCCGGAATCCCTCTTGACGAGCACAGGACACACCTCCTGCTGTCCTGCCGGCTTCATCCCCAGCGAAGACTGCGCCAGAACAGCATCGCAGATTCGGGAGAGTGTATGAACCCCTGCTGGTGGATTTTGAGGAAGATCAATAACAATAACCAGTTAGGCCCCGGCTGGGTAGCTCAGTTGGTTAGAGCGTTGTCCCAATACGCCGAGGCTGTGGGTTCAATCCCAGGTCAGGGCACACACCAGGATCCACCAAATCAACCAATGAGTAAATGAGTAAATGCATAAATGAGTGGGACAGCAAACTGATGTTTCCTTCTCTTTCTCTCTCTCTCTCTCTCAAATGAATAAGTAAGATTTTTTAAAAAATAACCAGTTAAAAATGGCCCACCAGCTGACAGTAAGTAGTAGAGAAACACAGGCGAAACGGGGAGGGAAGTCAGGTCACCACCGTGGGGAACAGTTTTGTAAAGACTGTGCCTCTCTGGTTGAAGACGTTGCGTGTCGGACAGAAGGAACCTCTAACGGCTTGAACAGATTCTGCTTTGGTGGCAACGCTGTTTCTCCCGCAGAAAAGGCTAAAGACGTGTCTCTGAGCCTGCTCCCCAGAGCCGGCGATCACGCACATCAGCCTGGGGGTGACGTCACGGTGTCTTATGCTCTTCCTTCGACACGGGTCGGGATCATCACAGAGTACTGTGGGAGCGTCCTGAGACATCTCAAGTGACGGTTGCGCTGCGTGTAAGCCCAGCTGCTCCAAGGAAATCCATACAAGGACACCGTGTCCGGTCTCAGGACACCCACCCGCTTCACCCTTTCCTTCTCTCTCCCCTTCAGTTCTCCTGGGCCAGCCCTGGAATGTTCCCGTGGGGACAGGAATCCATTCTTGACCTCAAGGTGATCGGTGCACAAGATAAAATATGCAAGGTGATGACATCACCCTTTTCAAAATGCGCCCAGAGCAGGACCCCTGTGACCCTCTGGCAAACCGCTGGCAGGCAGTGGTCACTTCCAAGATCCCTCTGCCCCTTTCCACTGGGCATGCTCTGACTTTCAGACAGATATCGGCGATCATTCAAATACACATGGACGTGTTCCGTGGCACAGAAATTAGAAGGTGCTGGTGGGAGCTCATGTTTTTCTTTCTCCCCCCTTTATTTTTATTGTTGACACTATGATGGATGTCCCTGTTTTCCCCTCCTCCGCCAGCCCCACCCAGCCCCTGCCCCCAACCGTCCCGCTGGCCGTCACCACGCTGCTCTCTGCGTGCACCACGTGTGCGTCGATCTTCTCTGGCTAATCCCTTCACCTTCTTTCAGTGCTCAGTATCCGTCCAGAACCCCAGGCTGCTGACCATATGACCAGGACAGATACATGCTTTTTACATTGTTAAAATAAAAATGTGACCCTGTTTCCTTAAACTAATGACGTGTGGGCCACAAACTGCTCGAGTTTGGCTCACCAGCAATTTTTTTTTTCTAACTCTCTCTCGATCTCTTTTTTTCCTCCTTTTCCTCGATCCAAATCTCTGGACTATTTATTTAGTAAGAAGAAAAAGAAAATAACCAAAATCGCCGATGATCCACTTCATTGCTAACACTGCGAAGAGTATGACGCAGTAACAGTGATGAAAAGCATTAAGCCGACGTGAATCTGGACAGCGCTAACGTGTCGGAAAACCAGCTCATGGGAAGGAAGCGCATCCCTCTCGGGAAGCAAACGGGCTCATTATTCCCATTTTACAGGAGCAGCAAGGCCCGGGCAGACATGGCCTACCTGGAGATGAGGGACAGAGCTGGGGCTCGAACCTCAGCCACGCAGTGTTGATATTAATATAAATGCCTCACTCCCCAAACGCAGAGGATTTATTAGAGGGTTTACTGAGAAATTACTGAGTGCCCAGCCCTGTGCTTGCTGTGAAACGGGAAGCCCAAGCAGCCACAGTCCCTGCCCCATGAGACTCCCAGCCTTGTGGGAGAGAAGGGCATCAAGCTGAAATGACCTACTCCGGGCAGTGCTCGAAGCACTGAGTGCCTTGAACGGTGCCTTCATTCCAACGAGAGGGGCCAGGCCTTGGTCCTTAAGAGCTGCTCCACAGAGACCCCCGATGGGCGGCCCGCCTTTGAGGATGGCATTTCTAAGAGCATCGGACTCGCCCAAATTCATGTTATTATTTAAAGCACACGCTCCTCTGGGTTCCGAGTTTCCTTTCCAGGGTCTTGTTGCACATGCTCTGTCAAGATTTAACAGCGTTTTGGATTGGGCTTCTGAAGAGCAGCCGAAAGCAATTATTTTCTCTTGGCTGCTGGTCGGAGTTTTAAAGGTAGTTCTTTTCATTCATTCTCAGAAATGACTGGTCCATTTTTTCATGGCAGCGGGTCCCTTGAATCCATGCCCTCGGTATTTATCGAGCGCCCACCCGGGGAAGAACCATCACGTTCCTCTTCAAGACTTAAGCCTAATCCAGGTCTTCAAACCCTCCCGGGGCTCTGCCCCGGCGCTAAGCTGCCAGAGACAAAATCAACAGTGTCTTCTTAACTGTAGCAACTTGGCAAGAGACAACATGACTTCCCTTCCCGGTGAGGGTGCGGAAGGCTGGCCGTGAACCTGCTAACCTCCCCTCCCTCCCTCCCTCGCTCCCTCCCTCCATCTGGGCTGAGTGACTCAGAGGAGACCAGCCCTGTTCCTTTCTCCTAACTAGGTCTGGCGAGCCCCATAAACAGGCAGCTTGCCTTTGATGTCCCTAGACACGGGCATGATTCAGAAGGGCCCCTCCTGAGCTTCTGAAAGGAGCGCTGAAAGCTCAGGAGAGAGAAGGCTGCCCTCACAGCGTCCCCGCAGCTCTGAGCTCTGGCCAGGGGCAGACCGCTGGCCAGTTCCTCCCTTCTCTCCCCGGAGGACTCCCACGATGAATCACCACCAGCTGCGAAGGTCCCGTGCTGTCCTTCCTAACAAACAACAATAAAACTTCCAAGCGCTGGTGCAGAGTTCCCTCTAACGACACCCGTTTACCTGCTTTTGTTGCCAGGGTTCAGAAAAGACTGAAGGTTTTCTGACAACGGCTAAAGTAGTTTGCATACCTCAACACACCTGTGCATGTCCCTTTCAGGTGTCTGCTGCACAGAGGGTTTTTTTTTTTCTATTGCTTTTAAAGAGAGAAAAGGGGGGCAGGGAGACAGAAAAAGAGAGAAACACAGAAACATCCTTTGGTTGCCTCCTTTTTGCACCCCAACCGGGGATCAAACCCTCAAACTAGATATGTGCCTGACTGGGAGTTGAACCTGCAATGCTTTGGTGCATGGAACAATGCTCCAGCCAGCTGAACCACCCAGCTGGGCCTCCTCCCTTGGGTCTCCGATGTCCCCAAAAGATACTCTGTTTCCCCGCCAAGTCATTTCACAGAGAACCTGTGCTTTACAGGGACACTGGCAACTAGCAGTATGGGTGAGCTCAGGCACAAACACCTTCACACTTAATGAGGTACACACTGTCCAGCATCCCCCGCTCTCTCTGCCAACATGACACGATAAGTACACTCGGGTTACAAATTCTTGTTGCATTTATCCTGGTCATGGGCTGCGACAGAAGGAATATGAGCCCTGGAATTGGCCAGTTCTGTCTGCATCATTTAATAGTTAGAAGCAGGAAACATGTACAAATATTAGTAGTGGAAATGTCGGCATTAGTAACACTTATCGCTCATGGACTTTTAATGTGCCAGAAACCATGGCATAAACTACACTTCTATATCATTTTATCTTTCTGAGGGAGGTACTGTTACTACCCATGTTTTGCAGAAAAGGAACAAAGCAAACAGAGGTTTAGTAAGATGACAAGATAGCACAGCTCAGAGCCATGAAATGAACTGCTGAGATTAGTTGCACTGTCTTGAAAGTGTGTGTGTGTGTGTGTGTGTGTGTGTGTGTGTGTGTGCACGCATGGCAGGGGGAGATATCACTTATAACCCACATTTTAATAGATGAAAACTCAGATCTCCCTCCCATTACTTTATCACAATGTACTTTCCTGTCTTAAATTGTTTGAAGGACGGTGCCTACTTTAGCAGCTCCTTGAGAGATGATGTCTGTTGAGCGACTTTTGTGATCAGTATCTTCAAGTAGACACATGCGTTCACTGAAGCGTGAAAATTACCCTCTGGGGAAACGGCCTCGTCTTAAATGAAGGGTTTAACCCAAAACTGAGGTTCGTTGGTTTACGACTCACCTCTGACTCACTTTCCCCGTCTGCATAAAAATCCGGGAGAAAGACGTGTAATCAGGAGTAAGCTGGGTGCTGTGCTCCTGTTTTCTTGCCTTAAAGACGCTTGAATGGAATCGGGAAATGGAACCACCGGTGCGTAAAAAAATGGCACCAGCCTGCCAGTCAGCACCTTGTCCCGAGTGCAGAGGTGGACCCAGCTCCAGCGGCCGCTTCGGGGAGTGGTATCGGGCCGTTAAAGATTCACCAGGTGGTATTTTTGCAATTCTATTTTTGGGCTCAGCTGAGCGAAAACGCTGCACCTTATGAACCCGGACTTTGAACATCCTCTCTCTAGTTTACTATAAAAAGAAGATTCTTTAATGAAAAATAGGGCTGGGGTGAGAGTTTCAATGTTCTGTGGGTCTTCACAGCCTCGCTGGTGGTTCCTGGATTTCTGGCTGAACCAGCACAAACTGGTGAATGGTCAGGAGCAAACACAAGGGAAATGCTGTTTTCATGTAAGGGCCTTATTCAGACTAAAGTGTTAAGGACATCATCGCACTGAGGGTTTCTGACTTTTAAGTAAACAGTGCCACCTTGGAAGAGAAACCACGTTGACAGGAAGTGAAGTGAGAATGACATGGTCAGGAAATGTGTGGGGTGCTGAAAGAGTCTCTAACGCAAGCCACTAACTGGCCAGTTTCCAGCGAACTGTGAACCTTAGACACCTTTTGTGTGACTTGGTGCATTTTGGACTTTTGAATTAGTCAACAGCTTTTAAAACTTAGGAGGTTTCATCCTCAAAACTGGAATTTTAATTTCTCTTTGAAAGTTAGATCTATCAAAAGCCCCTCTGGTTTGCCCAAGTCTCCACCATTCCCTATTACCTCCCACCCAGTCTAGCTCACTCATTTCAATTGTTTGCCTTACCCTCTAAACATTTGAGTTTCCAGCATGTGCTTTGGGCAATGGGCAAGTGCTTTGTTTAACTCCATTCCCCATTTTATTTCCCTCCAAACTGAGAAAAAACAAATTGCAAATGTAAAGGTCTCTTTAGCGATCTGCAGCTGTAAAATTCTGTCAGAGAGGCGCCTCCCTACACTCGTGAAACACCTCACGGGCAAAAGTGGGAAGAGAAGCTCAACATTACTTTTCTGGTGATTTCTGGGTTTCAGGATTTCTCCAGAGTGCTCTGGTTTTCATGCCCAAATTCTTTTTCTCTTATTTCACCCTCTCTTTTTTTCTTTCCCCTAAAGTATCGAATATCAAAAATCGGTTCGCTGGGTCCTGCTTGGTCCCTCACACACCTTTGCCCTTTCTTTCTGGTAATGTCCTCAGGTTCCCAGACAGGCATTTCCTTCCGGAAGGACGTGCCACTCAACTGATGAAAATCCCTTTTTCGCCTCCAGGAGCTACACCCCCAAATTAAAGGGTGAGGCCCTCCAGCCTCACCCCTGAACGCATAGAGATTCCTGGACTACAGAGACCTCTCTGAATGCCACCAGGGCACCTACAAGCTAGGCGGACACCGACGACAGGTTTCCTTTCGGATGGGAGTGGATCCTGAACCAGCCACCACCACCGCCACCCACCCCAGGCCTCATCCAGTTTGCTCTCATTGGCCGTTTCGCATTTTTTGTACTTTTAAACATTGCAATCCATTGCTGACATTAAAAAAACCAATGAGACCTTTCACATGAAATCCAGATTTCCGTCCAGGCTTTAAATCAGAAGGTGCATCTAATGTGGGCTCATGCCCCCACTTGGCTGGAATCAGCCAGGCTGAGCGGGGATGAGCTCCGGTGCCTGGTGCAGACCCAGCCTGGCTCCTCCCCCCTTGCCCCCCACCCCCCCACTCTCAGGGCTCCAGACAGCAGGAGGTCTGACCTGCCAGCTCCCGTTTGGACCGGAAATGCCATTGGACTTTAAGGGTGTGAGACAAACCCCCGATTCTTCTTAGGCACCCACATCCCTGAAGGAAAAGTGCATTCCAGTATGATCCCCACTTTACAGGTGACAAGAGCGGCCTGGGAACACGAAGTCCATTGCCAAAGCTCCGTGCCTAGGAAGTGGGCAGCCGAGGTGCGCCTGACCCCAAAGTCCATTTACTGAATCAAACTGTGATGCTTTGTTCTTTTCCTTTTTCTTTTCGTTTCTTTCTCTTTCCCTCCCTCCCTCCATTCATTCTTTTCTGCCTTCCTTCCTCCTTTCCTTCCTTCCTCCCTCCCTCCCTTCCTTCTTAGAATAGTGTTGATAGAAATAGTGAACTGATTCAAAAGACTATTTGGATTCAGGCTTCTTTTCTCAACTTAGAAAATGCTCCTATATGTCCATCGCGAGCCCTCATTCTCTGCCCTCCCGCCACTTCCCAGCAACCACAGCTGGCGCCTGCAGGAGGGGCACGGCTGCTCCCGGCTGCTGTGACTTCTGCCGCATCGTCGTTGTCACACCTGACTTGCTCCAGTCCCTCCGGACGTCACTGCTCAAACCCACCAGCGCTCCTCCTCCATTGGACACAGGGCCTGGGGTCCCCCATCCTGATAGGGCTCCCCCATCCTGACAGGGCCCCCCGAATGTCTTAACTTTGATTTATTTCACAAGCAGAAGAGAAAGTAAATACAATAATAATGACTGTAGTGGTGAAGCCAACCTGGGTTGTTTTTGTCGTTATGCCAATGCAGTCATTATATAGAATTTCTTACGTTTTTTTTTAAACGGGAAGAGGGGGCCCGTGAAGGCGGAGGGCCCGCAGCCGGCACAGCCGGGACCGCTCTGAGCAAGGGCGTCTGCAGCCCCTGTTTTTGCAGAGTTGAGAATGTCTTCTCCGAGTTTCTATTGATGCGATAGGCTGACCACGTCTCACGTGGAGATTGAGAACACAGTAACTTTGGAACCTGGGTTGGGTTTGAAGCCAGCCTCTGCAACCGACAAGCCTGTGGCCTTGGACAAGTTACTTCACCTCCACATCCGCAAAACAGGGATAAAATCGTCGTCTCCTTCTAGACGCGTCTGAGGAGGAAACGAGCTCGTGGACACGTAAAGCACTAAGAACGGTAAATGCCACGCAGTGTTGGATCTTATGTTTATGATTATGTGCTAAATGTGTCTTCCTGCCAAGTTCACATGTGGAAGCCCTAATCCCCCATGTGTCTGGAGATGGGGCTTTCGGAGATAATCAGGGTCAGATGAGGTGGCGCAGGTGGGGCCCTCACAATGGGATTAGCGCCCTTCTTAGAGGAGCCCGAGCCTGACTCCCTTTGCCACGTGAGGACCCGGGACAAGAGACCCATCTGCTCGCCAGAGCCCAGCCACGCCGGGCCCCTGACCTCCCACTTGCAGCTCCCAGAACCGTGAGCTGTGACCGCCTGCTGTCGAAGCCACCGAGCCCACGGCATTTTGTTTCAGCAGCCCGGCTGACCGGGACCTACGTGCAAACACAGAAGAGTTTTCTTTAGCTGCCGGCCTCTGGCGGCAACTGCCGGACACTCACCTGACTCCAGACTCCGCAGCCTCCGCACCGTTGACACTGGGCATCAGACGTGTTTTCGCTGTCGTTACAGGGCCTCCCGGGTCTCTCCCCTGCAGACGCCGGCAGCACCCCCTTAAGTCCCCAGGCGTGACCATCAGAAGTGTCTCCAGACGTTGACACATATTCCTTGGGGGGCAAAATCGCCCTGTGGACAGCCACTCGTGAACTCGTTTCCTGTCCTGAAATCTCAGGCCTCGGCAGGTCACGTAGCTCAGGGCCCCGAGCAACCTTTTGTCTTTCGCTTCCCGTGAGTCCAAAGAAAAGAAAAAATTACTGCATGCCTTAAATCATTCCATTTTCCCACCTGTTAGCAACAAGCATTCCCACGGATACACATTTTCACTGAAACTTGAGTGGAGAGACTTCCCCACCCTTTGCAGTGGCATTCTCCGTCGTTAAAAAGTGGCATTCGTTAAGGTCTTGCTTCATGAATATGAAAGGGTTGGGTTTTAGGCTTTTCCCCTCGGTGTTCCCACTGTCAGTGCAAGGTGAGAGAAACTGGGGGGTGGGGGGCAGAAAATCAGCCAGCACCCCCAGTTCCCTCCCACCCCCAACACCAACAGATCTCCCTGTCTTTCACGGCTTCCCAGCAGGTCTCCGGAGATCGCTCCCCATCTCCCCACTGGGGGCGCTCGCACCCCAGCCGCCCCACGTTTATCAAAACACTCGGTGGGCGAAACAAGGGGCCCAGAGGGACTGGGAGGCTCAGCTCACTTATTGCCTGAGAGACATTCTTTAAAAAAAAATTTTAAGATTTTATTTATTTATTTTTAGAGAGGGAAGGGAGGGAGAAAGAGAGACAGAGAGAAACATCAATGTGTGGTTGCTGGGGGCCATGGCCTGCAACCCAGGCATGTGCCCTGACTGGGAATCGAACCTGCGATGCTTTGGTTCGCAGCCCGCGCTCAGTCCACTGAGCTATGCCAGCCAGGGCGAATTTTTTTTTTTTTAATGGAGACAGAATAGTAGAGCGCTGTTGGTCTCAGTTCCCCAGCTGGGAACACAGATCACAAATAGGTAGCCTTGTTGCCCGCTCTCAACCTTCCAGTGGCTTGTGCATCAATCAGGAACAAGGTCATGACCAGCAGGAGGGTTGTGAGCGTTCAGAACAATTAGGCAGGTGATTAGCTCAGGCCTCTGAGCATGGCTGATCATCGCGATGAGCGTGGCAATGACAATGACCAATATTTACGAAGCACTTAACGACCCGCCAGGCTCTGTGAACTGCTTTACACACACGACCACACGTGGCCTTCACAACAGCCCTACGCAGGGGGCGCCGTTAGTACCACGTTTGCTCTGCGAGAACCGGAAATGGACCCAGAGATGTTTCCCAAGGTCTCACGGTAATTAAGTGCTGGAGCCAGGATTTGAATCTGTTTGCCATCTTAACCAAGCTGATATTTCATGATTTGCTGTTCATGGAAACTTTGATGAAGTAGATGCTGTTAACAGCCCCATTTTACAGGTGAGGAAACTGAGGCATTTGCCCCGGATTTCCCAGGTCAAGGAGTTTCTTACCGGCTGCCCACACACATTTAACCTTTGCAACCACTTGGAGGGAGGAATTATCACCTCGCGTTATAAATCAGGACACTGAGTCTCAAAGACACGCCATTAATTCCTCCTGGGGAACACGGTGTCACAGACCGAAGTCTGGCTCTGGCTGACCATGGAGTTGGAGCCCTTCACTGCCACAAACCCGGTGGCCTCTGCCCTTTGTCCCAATGGCCCAGATCCCAACCGCCCGCTTCTCTCCCTCTCCCTTTCCTCTTTGTCCCATGCATCCAAAAAAGATTAAGAAGGTTTAGATTG